GCAACGTCAACATGTACAAGTTTATGTTGTATTACAGAAAGGGTTTATCTTAAAGCTGAAATAGCTAGATTAACGACAAAACTAAAACACACACAAAACACTTATACTTGTAAGTTAAGACTTTTGTCTTCATAGCGTAAGACAGATTGATTAACTTTGATTTACCTTCATAGCGCCCCCACCAACGAGCATTGTACCATTTTTAAATGAAATAATACAAAAGATGGAAGCACATAAAAATTTAATGGCATCAAATATAACGGCAAAAGTAGGCAGTGATGCACCAAAGAAGCATCTTATAACTCTTTCCGTTTTATGTTAAATTTTTATCTATATGTAGTTATATCCAAAGATACCTTTTAAGAGCGGACGAATTAGCGAGATGTAGTGGCGGTAGTTGGGGTGAAACAACAAGAAATTTGTTGACTGCGTGTTTTGCCACCATAAATTTGCCAGAAAATAGCTATGAAAAGTTATATAAACAAGAGCCGGATGTATTGGACGCAATGTTTAGTGATGTTCTACTGTTGTAAAAGAAAATCTTTTGATTATGTTTATATTTTATGTTTTAGAATACGTTAAAGATAATCATGGTTTACCAGGTTTGGTACGTTCAACATTTAATGCACAAATATCAACAAAATGTCGTAATATGAAACAAGGCGTTAAAAGAAAACAAGAAACATTAGGAAATGAAAGAACGAATAACAATAAACCATTAGAAGACAAATAATCCATAACCTGAAATGAAATTTGATTAAGAAAACATAACCAAGTATATGTCTGTGTCGAACGGTATATGTTGTGCACAGCAATAGACTAAAGTGCGCTGATCACGAATCTGTTAATCTTTGAGCCACAGTTAGATATGATAAGTTATAAAAATCTTGTAGTTATTCTAGCGAATAGTGCTAATTTTCAAAAGATCATTACTTATGATTAGGGGTGTTAATTTTGTTTTATTGTTCATTTATAATAATGGATAAATGTAAATGAATCATTTATACTTAAAAAATAAATATAAATAAATGAAAAATAAATTTAACTTTATTTTATAAAAATAAATGATTCATTTACATTTATTTTCTACAGTAACACTAAATTAACACCCCTACTTATGATAGAACGACAATCGAAAAAGTTGTAACGTGTTGCAAAACGTCACTTCGTTGGACTTTGAGTCGACTCTTGCTTAGAACTGAGCCATATACCCTTACAGCTGAAATGTGAATGTACAAAAATGGCACATACCTGAGCTGTTGCAAAAAAATTTACAAAAAGTTATGATTTTTCGTTTTTATCGTATTACGTTGTATAATGTCGAAATTTTAGCTTTCTGTTCTGAAAATTAGCATTTTTGACAACAATATCGCTAAAGACTGAGAGACGTTCCATATCGTAACTGAAGTATTTATCTGCAAAATTATATGTCGTACTGCTCTAGTGCACGGTTCTATCAAACGCTCTGATCTTTTGGAAAAAAAAGTACTTTCGCTAATACAACCATAGGATTTTCATGATTCATCAACTGTTAACGGTGCGGCTAACGGTGAACAGATTCGTGATCAGCATTCTTTAGTCTACTAAGTACAATGTATTTCATCCGAATTTCTAAACATATACTTGGAAATGTTTCCTCGTAAGTAGAAAATTGAATTATTTGTCACCTTTTTTTTTCATTTACTGTTGGTTTTTTGACTGTGTTTATGTACATTTTTTATTCAGTAAAAGATGCTGAAGATGGTCGAACGACAGAAAGTGAAACTGAGACTCTTTCTTAAATTATGTTTACGATTACAATGTTAATTAGATGGGTTGTAACTTGAGTGCGTGCAGTTAAAGTATCTGTTGAAGCATTTTGAGCAATGCAAGTACGTCTTAATGTTCACTTTCCGGATTAATTTCGGAGTACATAAATCACAATATAAAATGCTCTAAATATTATTGTGATTGTCATGACTAAAAAAGGTGAACGTAAACGAAGACGAATTATTGAGAAAAGACGTTCAACGATTACGTCAGTCGACTTAAAATATGCCTAGGTTTACGTACTATTTAGATGATTCAAGCGACGATGAGAAATCTGCGGTTCGAATGATGTATAATTGTTGCGGAAAGCTTTTAATGCAAAAGATTAGATAGGTTTGACGCACAAATGTCTCAAATCTGCCATGGACGGACTTAGGCCAGTTGGTTCAGGCGCTAGAATAGATACTCAGATAGAATAAAATACTCTCGAACTTACATGGCTAGACTCCTTTTGAGCTGCTGAACCCGAATATGTGTGTTTGAGAAAACGAGAATCTATGTAACTGGGTCAAATTTGAAGTTTGTATTCGAAAGTGTCAAAATCTCACTTTTCAGGTGGTATTTTGAAGATTTCTCTCCCAAAACTTGATCAAAAGTGAATTAGTAGGTGATATTCGGGATCTAAGTTTCACGGACTATTCAACCATGTATATTTAAAGAAAGTCTATTTTTGTGTGTACCTTTCGAATTTCCGTCACCTTATTTTAATCAATTTTTAAAAAATTGAGAAATTATGGTTCTCCTCTTTTTGTAATAATTAATGAATCAGCTAATACGATAATGTGAATAATTAAGCTCCTTATTCTCTTCTTAATATTTACAATTTCGTTTCTGTCTTACTTGCTTCTCACAAGCATTCACTCTGTCGGCATCCAATCTTCACAGAGCGCAGTTCGCATCTAGTATTAATAACTCACTATAAGAAAACTACATAAATTATGAAGTATAACTGAATCAGGCTTGTTTCGAGTTTTCAATCATTTGTGCAAACCATAGATCGGTATAGATGTATCTCTTTGATTCACCAGTACCCGTTAGGAACGAGCTTCTGAATCAAAATTCAACAGCAGCACGTTGAAAAACGAGTGACTTGTGAACAAAATTAATTTAGGTTAGCTGAAGGAGTTTGAAGCGAATTATGATGATAATGTAGAGGGGTGGTAGTTAAATTCTAATTTACTGGTTATTTGTTAATATTAGTTATTTGTTGAGTTCTTCTCTTCTTCTTTATCATTAGTTATAATATATATGAGTGAAATATAAATGTGTTATACATATGTATTGTATCATCGAGATTAGTGAAAGGATACCCTAGAGATCGATTCTTATATAAGAATCTTACCAGAAACCTATAAGTCTCTTATCAGTATCTTATAAAATTCTATCAGGTTCTTATATAAGATTGTTTAAGATTTCCCATCGACAGTCGTAAGTGTCTTATAAGAATCAGATAAGATTTTCATACGAGGTTCATAAAAAGATAAATCGCACTTAACGAGGATCGAACTC